CCAAGCAATGTCCCCAAATGCACTTTACTAGAGACCTAGGATATCTGCATGCCCCATCCCCTCCAAATACCTACCCTTTTCACCTGGTCATGCCCATCATATTTTTAATTTTAACTATTACATTTGGCCCTGCCATAGATTTTAATGTGTCATGTTGCTTTGTTTAATGTTTATTGCTTTGTTTTGAGTTCATTTTGTTGTATTGTTGTAGTAGTATTTTTACTGATGTATTTGGGCTCGGCTTCTTGTAAGCCGCAAGGAGTCCTCCGGGAGATGGTAGAGGGATACAAATAAAGGATTATTATTATTATTATAACTATAACATAACTATAGTCCATTGTTTTCTGACCATTACTATATCTTATCTGTTAGTCTGTTGCAAACATGGCTTCAGAGCGACTGGGAAACTTGGGGGGTTCTAACTAGCCATCAGCTAGCTGGTTTTGTCCGGATGTACTGTTATATTGTTTATATGCTTTGATGTTTTATATTTTAATGTTATGTTGTTTATTTTATTGCAATTTGTATTGTTATATTGCAATTCTTGTTCGGGCTTGGCTCCATGTAAGCCGCTCCGAGTCCCCAGTGGGGAGATGGTGGTGGGGTATAAATAAAGTTTATTATTATCCTTGAATAATAACTTCTTCTTTGGAGCACTGATTTCTCAAACAATCAGCATTTTGGGTTGTTGTAGGTTTTTTCGGGCTATATGGCCATGTTCTAGAGGCATTCTCTCCTGACGTTTCGCCTGCATCTATGGCAAGCATCCTCAGAGGTAGTGATGTCTGTTGGAACTAGGAAAAAGGGTTTGTAGATCTGTAGAATGACCAGGGTGAGACAAAGGACTCTTGTCTGCTGGAGCTAGGTGTGAATGTTTCAACTGACCACCTTGATTAGCATTTGATTGCCTGGCAGTGCCTGGAGCAATCTTTTGTTGAGAGGTGATTAGATATCCTTGTTTGTTTCCTCTCTGTTGTTGTGCTGTTCTAATTTTAGAGATTTTGTTCATTTTCATGGTTTCCTCCTTTCTGTTGAAATTGTCCACATGCTTGTGGATTTCAATGGCTTCTCTGTGTAGTCAGCATTTTCTGCAAACATAGGCCTACTGCAGAAATAGGCCAATATGGCAGTAAATCAGGACATATAGGCATTGGGAATATCTCTGAAAATTGCCCTTTTCAAACCACGTCCCCTCTAGTAGTAAATCTAAAAAGAAAAGGAGCCATGCCAATTAAAGGTGGTTTCAAGCTGCATTAATTCTAGATCAGTGTTTCTCAACCTGGGGATCGGGACCCCTGAGGGGGTCGCGAGGGGGTGTCAGAGGGGTCACCAAAGACCATAAGAAAACACAGTATTTTCTGATGGTCATGGGAATTCCATGTGGGAAGTTTGAGCCAATTCTATCATTGGTGGAGTTCAGAATGTTCTTTGATTGTAATGAACTATAAATCCCAGCAAATACAACTCCCAAATGTCAAGATCTATTTTCCCCAGACCCCACCAGTGTTCACATTTGGGCATATTGAGTATTTGTGCCAAGTTTGGTCCAGACCCAACATTGCATGAGTCCACAGTGCTCTCTGGATATAGGTGAACTGAGCCCCCGGTGGCACAGTGGGTTAAAGCACTGAGCTGCTGAGCTTGTTGATTGAAAGGTCGCAGGTTCGATTCTGGGGAGCGGCGTGAGCTTCCGCTGTCAGCCCTAGCTTCTGCCAACCTAGCAGTTCGAAAACATGCAAATGTGAGTAGATCAATAGGTACCGCTCCGACGGGAAGGTAACGGCGCTCCATGCAGTCATGCCGGCCACATGACCTTGGAGGTGTCTACGGACAACGCTGGCTCTTCGGCTTAGAAATGGAGATGAGCACCACACCCCGGAGTCAGACATGACTGGACTTAATGTCAGGGGACTACCTTACAACTCCCAAACTCAAGGTCAATGCACATCAAACCCTTCTGGTGTTTTCCATTGGTCATGGGAGCCAAGTTTGGTTCAAATCCATCGCTGGTGGAGTTCAGAATGCTCTTTGATTGTAAGTGAACTATAAATCCCAGCAACTACAACTCCCAAATTACAAAATCAATCCTCCTCCAACCCCACTAGCATTCACATTTGGGTGATATTGGGTATTTGTGCCCAGTTTGGTCCAGTGAATGAAAATGCATCCTGCATATCAGATATTTACATTATGATTTATAACAGTAGTAAAATGACTGTTATTAAGTAGCAATGAAAACAGTATTATGGTTGGGGGTCACCACAACATGAGGGGCTGTGTTATGGGGTCACGGCATTAGGAAGTTCCCTCACAAAACCAGATTTGTGAGGGAGAACAATGCACCCCTTCCCCTGGTGAGGCGTTTTGTGAGGTGAATTGAAGAGTGTCGCGTGAGACAAAGGCGCTGTCCCTGGGTGAACGCTGATGCGCGCGCCCGACAAGCCACAGCACAGGGCCCAGCAGGCGTTACGTGGCGCTGAGGCGCCAAAGGCTATACATGACCGCCTTCAAACTCCCTGAGGAGCGTTAAGAGTCGACCGTTACGCAACTGGCCTCCGTTCGAACCTGAGCTGGAAGCGCGCGCGCGCGAGACTATCTAGCGCTAGCGCGAGCACGAGCGCGCCCGGCACTGCGCACGAGCGCACCCTCCACTTCACCTTCACCCCGACTGAATAAAGAGCCTTCGGGACAAGCCCCGCCCCTTTCGAATTTTTATGTCCAATTAGAGAACTCAACGCCTCAAGCCTTCTCCCTCTTGCCCCCGCCTCCCGTGCCTGAGGCGTGAATCCAATCAGCATCAGCCTTGTTTCCATCTAGTTGTCAAGAGGGAAAAGGGAAGAAACTAAAAAAAGAGCCGAGGGGAGGGGGGAAGAGAATGAAAAGAGAGCCTGTCTAGAGATACGTATCTCTCCCCAAACGTCTTCATGGTTCATTCCAGTCCTAACTACGCTTCACAAAAGGACTCAATGTTTTTAATGATTGCCCCCCCCATAAGAAAAAAAAATGATCTGGTCCAACATGAAGCACCAAGCTTGGAGGTTCAGCTGGACCAGACCATTTTTTCTGGATTGGGGGGGAGGAAGGGGAGAGAGTGACAGCTGCTGAATTTTAACAAAGCTGCTCGTTCCCGTGGTAAATTTGAGAGCAGTTGAAAGCTGAGTACACCATGATTCAATATTTGCGTTTCAGTTCGATCCCAAACCCAAGAGTCTGAAAAGCATTACGTGTCATTTAATGTATCCACACGACAGAATTATACCGCTATTATCCCGCTTTAAATGCCAGGATTCCATCCTGCCGAATACTGGGGTTTGTAGTTTGGTCAAAGGCTAGGAATTCTAAAAACTGCACATCCCAGGATGCCATAGGAGGGAACCATGGAAGTTAAGCTGGAATAATAACGCCATAAATATGTAGTGTGACTTGGGTGAGCAGCCTTTGTTGATGCAAGCGAAGAGAGGCGTCGTCTTCTTAATTTCCCCCCGGTTTGGAGAAAGGAAACATTTCTTAAGAGGGTGCATCTACACTACAGAATTAACGCGGTTTGGAACTACTTGAGCTGACATGGCTGAATGCGATTGAATCTTAACAGTTGTGGTTTCACAAGGTCTTTTAGGGCCAAATACGGCGAGTGCTTCACCAAACTATTGCACTGAGCCGTGGCAGTTGATGCGGTATCAAACTGCATTAATTCTACAGTGTGGACAGAATCTATAAAGTTGAGTCCTCGAAATCTGTATTCGCTTTGTCGCGCCGGATTCCCCTCTTTTCTTCCCAACAGAGCACATCCGGGACTTACGGCCTCATCTACACTGTAGATTTGTTTATTTATTTACGATATCTATATGCCGTATTAATATATTAATAACGTTTTAATCTTGAAATCTTTGAAAAAGACAACATGAACATTGTGTGTTCATGAGAAACTGTAACATGAATAATTCTCATTTTGTAGTATATAGAATAAATAATAGTATATTTATTATAATATTATAATAATAGTATATTTGTTATAATATACTGTTTATTATAATAATAGAATAACAGAGTTGGAAGAGACCACATAGGCCATCTAGTCCAACCCCCTGGCATGCAGGAAAGGCACAATCAAAGCATTCCGGACAGATGGCCATCCAGCCACTGTTTAAAATCTACCAAGAAAGGAGCTTCCACCACACTCCAAGGCAGAGAGTTCCACTGCTGAACAGCTCTTACAGTCAGGAAGTTGTTCCTAATGTTCAGATAAAATCTCCTTTTCTGTAACTTAAACCTATTGCTCCGAGTCCTAGTCTCGAGGGAAGCACTTTCATACCGCTTTAACTGCCCTGCGATGGAAGTATGGCAATTTTACAAGTCTTTAGTCTTCTCTTCCCAACAGCACTGGTATCTCAACAAACTACAGATCCCAGGGGCAGTGGCAAGTTAAAGTGGTGCCAAACTGCGTTAACTCTACAGTGTAAACGCACCCAGAAAAGAACCCTCCCTCCCCCCGCCACGCACATTGTTTTCCATCTCGAGATGAACTCCACTTCCTTCCTTTCTCTCTGCAGCACCAACACTAACGGAGTTGTGTGCCTGTGTGTGTGTGTGTGTTTTCTAATATTAGCCGAGAGGAGGAAATTGCGCCACGAAACAAAAGACTCATCTTTGCCTTTCCCATGCATGCAAACACAGCCCGGCGTTGCAATACTTCAAGCAGTTGCAGATTTTCACAAGAGGTGTCATTAGAAAAGCCATTTTTAAAAACTTTTGCAAAAATTTAATTTCTTGCTGCGTTAGAAGGCCCCATATTTGCAAATAATAATAATAATAATAATAATAATATCACAATTGCAAATGCATTTGCAAAAAGCCAAATTGGAACTCAGTACATCCAGGGTTGTTTTGCACTTCTTTATGCCCGGCTCACAGTGAAATAAGCCTCTCCACCCCAAATATATGTAACTAAATATATATTTATGGCCTCCGCAAGCAGCTGCGTTTGAACAGATGCTCATTACCTGTGAGTCGCTTTTCAGATCGGAAATAGAAAGAGATCCCGGCGATTCCTCCTCCTCCGTCTTTCGATCACTCTCTTCTTTTTCTTTCCAAGTTCCAGCTCAACTCAAAACAAAGGAGACCCTGAAACATGTGACCTCCCAGAGCCAAAACACATGACGTCACCACGAGGCCGGCCAATCAGAGAAGGGCCGGCTGCAAAGAGCCCTGGGAGATGGAGTTCTTTTGAGCCAAGGCTGTGTGCCTTCGAGGCCACTTTAGGCAGAGGGAGCAAATGGTACAAAGGAAGCAATGGTCCAAATGTGAAAGTGTTTAAAATCCAGAAAAACTTAAACCGATACAATCATTGAAAGGAAAATAATGCTGGGGAAGTTTGGGAGAGGGATTTTGGGAGGATGGTCAGTTTTAAATGTAATTTTAATTGTATTTATTGTATTTTAATTGTGTTTATTTTATTTTAATTTTCTATCCACACACAAATATTTAATTGTTTTGTTTAATTTTTGTATTTGTATTGTTTTAAATTGTTATTAGATTTTTTTTGAGTCTCCACGAGAAAAAGGTGGGATAATAATAATAGAAAAAAATCAGCAATCTCAAGCTAAATACCAACGACAAACTGATCAACTTCGATGTGGTGTCTCTATTTACCATGCACTAATTAACCAGATGTGCCCAGAAGACGTCACAGCTCTGTTTAAAATCTGGCTACGAGTATTAAAAAACTCTAAAAACAGCAAAACAGCAGAGGGAAAACAATCAGGGACATCTAATCACTTCTCAACAAAAGATTGCTCCAGGCACTTCTAGGCTATCAAATGCTAATCAAGGTGGTCAGTTGAAACATTCACACCTCTCTCCAGCAGACAAGAGTCCTTTGTCCCACCCTGGTCTTTCCACAGATATATAAACCCATTTTCCTAGTTCCAACAGACCTCACTACCTCTGAGGATGCTTGCCATAGATGCAGGCGAAACGTCAGGAGAGAATGCCTCTAGAACATGGCCATATAGCCCGAAAAAACCTACAATAACCCAGTGATTTTGGCCATGAAAGCCTTCAACAATAAAATAATAATAATAATAATAATAATAATAATAACAACAACAACATCAGGAGAGAATGCCTCTAGACCATGGCCATATAGCCTGAAAAAACCTACAACAAACCAATAATGCAATTATTATTATTGCCGATACATCACATAGTCCTAGACACTTGGGAAGTGTCCAATATGTGATCAAATATGAAAGCCAGCATAGTGATTTTATTACAATTATTCTTCTTGCTGATACATCACATAGTCCTAGACACTTGGGAAGTGCCCGTGATCAAATACAAAAGCCAGCATAGTGATTTTGTTTGCTGTGTACTAATCTTGTTATGTATCTAATAATAACAATAATAAAAATAATGATGATACCGTAATAGTAATGTTATATAGTGACAGCCATTGGTCATTAACTTACCCCATTTTTGGAAGGAACTATTCCAATTTGAATTTGCTGCCCTTTAGTGCCATTGAATATTCTTATGGCAAAAAATGCACCCTATTTTTCCCCTAGTAAGTATCCATAAAAAATAAAATAAATCTGAAAGTTGCTCAAATATGAAGGATATTATTATTATTCTGTGAAATGAAGGCAATGCAAAAAAAATCTGTGTTCGGAGCAATTGCAACTGTCTTGAGGGTCCTTCCAGTCCTATGGAAAGTTTGTGCCCAAGCACAAGGTGTTTGTGGAGACAGCGAGCCCAGGTATGGAAACTCTCCATTCAGTTCTGAGGCTCTGTGTGGCAACCTGCCTCCGACTTTATTGCTTAGGAGTGTTACGTCACAGAGGCTTTTGACCCCAAGACATCATAAAAATGACTCAGCCATTGAAATTACTGCAACATAGAGCCTAACAGGTCTTTTTTTTTCTTGCTGGTGTTAATCAAGGATGCATAGCATTCATTGTGTTATATTTGCTCTTACCTGGCTGGCAAATAGAGCATGGAAAAAGGTTTTTGGGACCAAAGCTATCAGAATCCCAAAGCAAGCATGGGCCATGGCTATACCTAAGGAATTGTGTGTGTGTGTGGGGGTGGGGGGGTGGGGGGGTGGGGGGTGGTGGTGGTTGTGGTGGGGGGTGGGGGTGGGGGTGGGTGGGTGTTGTAATTCCAAAAGTAAATTTTCCAAACTCTGCTGCCAATTGTCTCAGGGTACATCTACACTATAGAATTAATTCAGATCGACACCACTTTTAACTTCCATGGCTCAGGCCTATGGAATCATGTAGTTTTACACAGGCTTTAACATTCTCTGCCAAAGACGGCGGGTGACTCACCAAACTACAACTCTCAGGATTCCATAGGATTGAGCCATGGAAGTTAAAAGTAGGGTCAAACTGCATTCATTCTACAGTGTAGGTCCACCCCACATTCCATCTGGATAGACATCAGCCCTACCCATGACTTTCTGATGCCCAGTCTCACCAAACAATTAACTCCTAAGATTCCACAATATTGTCAGACTTTTCCCCGATGTGCTAGAACTCCCAATTGATCCAATGAGACACACACAGGTTGAAGGTGGGAACAGAAATCCATATATTCAGCAATGGTCAGAGCGGACATTGGAGGATAGCAATTCCCAAATCTAGTATGTTTTCCAACAGCAAATGTAGGCATTATATTGAGCAGGGGTCCTCAAACTAAGGCCCGCGGGCCAAATATGGCCCTCCAAGGTCATTTAACCGGCCCTTGCTCAGGGTCAACCTAAGTCTGAAATGTCTTGAAAGCACACAACAACTACAACAATCCTGCCTCACCAGGCAAAATCAGGCCCACACTTCCCATTGAAATATTAAGTTTATATTTATTAAAATTGTTCTTCATTTCAATTATCGTATTGTTTTAAGTGATTTTTCACTACAAATAAGATGTGTGCAGTGTTGTATAGGAATTCATTCATGTGTTTTTTTTCAAATTATAATCCGGCCCTCCAACAGTTTGAGGCACTGTAACCTGGCCCTCTATTTAAAAAATTTGAGGACCCCTGGTTTAGGTCATACTTGGGTCTTTGGTGAGTTGGGGAAGCCAGGCTGGGTGCCACTCTTGGCCTATTGTGTAGGTGTGAGTTGGAAGACGTGTGATGCTCGTGCATCCTTAACTTATGGATGGAAAAGCGGGTTTAGTATGATTTTCCAAAAATTTCCAGAGATGCAACCAGGAAACTTCTCCAGGTGATTTATCCAGGCAACTATGGCTCCTCCTATTTTGAGGGTCTTTTTTCAAAAACAACAGCATTGAGCCATTGAAGTTAATTTGATGGCAAACTACATTCATTCTACAACGTAGATGCACTATTTGGCCTTTTTAGAAAAGCATGACCTTTTAGAAATCATAACCTTTTAGAGAAGTGCCAAAAACCCATTTGAGTAGAATCTTCTCAAGTGATATGTAACCAAATATAAATATGCAAGGCAGTTGGCTTCAGTTGTTAGACTGAATAACCTATTGTCTCTGATCTTTGGAAACACAGAATATGCTAGTGCAATAAAATAGCAGTTCCTCAGAAGTGTTTTTCAGTGCCCAAAAATAATGTACTCTCCCATAAAACAACTTGTTTTATATTATGCACTCAAGAGACAAAATAAAGTTGACTTTGGTTAAAAAAACTAATGTATTGGTTTTACTCACAACCTTCATGTGTTCAGCATACACAGGTACATAATTTATTAGTCAGTTACAGATATGTTTGAGATAGTTTCTGTGCCATCCAGTCAGAACATCTTTTATAATAAACAGCAGGCAAGTGTTTGCAAGACTGCAATCTGAGCAGTCCCAAAGTCTAAAGAAGTCTATTTGCTGTGCTCGTCCCAGAGAGGATCATGTGGTCTGCAGCCCCTCCCACAACCTCTCAGGAAAACATAGACCAAGGAAAGAAAGCTGCATACCACAACATACATACAATAAATAAGAAACAGGATTGTAAATAAATTACTAGAGGAGGCTTGAAGAAGGTTGTGATTTCCAACATTAGAGAAAAGCAGTGCAATAATAATAATAATAATAATAATAATAATAATAATAATAATAATATCTTGGATCCATCCACAAATAGGGTGCTCCTTCCAAATGCTAATTCTGTCGTGTTGTGGTCCTACCTTACAGAAAAGGGGTCCTGATGATGACATCGTTTGGTGTTTGTTGTTCATTCGTTCAGTCGTCTCCGACTCTTCGTGACCTCATGGACCAGCCCACGCCAGAGCTCCCTGTCGGCCGTTACCACCCCCAGCTCCCTCAAGGTCAGTCCAGTCACTTCAAGGATGCCATCCATCCATCTTGCCCTTGGTCGGCCCCTTTCCTTTTACCTTCCACTTTCCCCAGCATAATTGTCTTCTCTAGGCTTTGCTGTCTCCTCATGATGTGGCCAAAGTACTTCAACTTTGTCTCTAGTATCCTTCCCTCCAGTGAGCAGTCGGGCTTTATTTCCTGGAGGATGGACTGGTTGGATCTTCTCGCAGTCCAAGGCACTCTCAGAACTTTCCTCCAACACCACAGCTCAAAAGCACCAATCTTCCTTCGCTCAGCCTTCCCTAAGGTCCAGCTCTCACATCCGTAGGTTACTACAGGGAATACCATGGCTTTGACTAGGCGGATCTTTGTTGCCAGTCTGATGTCTCTACTCTTTACTATTTTATCGGGATTGGACATTGCTCTCCTCCCAAGAAGTAAGCGTCTTCTGATTTCCTGGTCACAGTCTGCATCTGCAGTAATCTTTGCACCTAGAAATACAAAGTCTGTCACGGCCTCCACGGTTTCTCCCTCTATTTTCCAGTTGTCAATCATTCTTGTTGCCATAATCTTGGTTTTTTTGACGTTTAGCTGCAACCCGGCTTTTGCGCTTTCTTCTTTCACCTTGATTAGAAGGCTCCTCAGCTCCTCCTCGCTTTCGGCCATCAGAGGGGTGTCATCTGCATATCTGAGGTTGTTAATGTTTCTTCCAGCAATTTTCACCCCAGCTTTGCATTCATCAAGCCCCGCACATCGCATGATGTGTTCTGCATACAAGTTAAAGAGGTTGGGTGAGAGGATGCAGCCTTGCCGTACGCCTTTCCCAATCTTGAACCAGTCTGTTGTTCCGTGGTCAGTTCTGACTGTTGCTACTTGGTCCTTGTACAGATTCCTCAGGAGAGAGACAAGGTGGCTTGGGATGCCCATCCCACTAAGAACTTGCCACAATCTATTATGATCCACACAGTCAAAGGCTTTAGAATAGTCAATGAAGCAGAAGTAGATGTTTTTCTGAAACTCCCTGCCTTTCTCCATTATCCAGCGGATATTGGCAATCTGGTCTCTCGTTCCTCTGCCTTTTCTAAACCCAGCTTGTACATCTGGCAACTCTCACTCCATGTATTGCTGGAGTCTTCCTTGCAGGATCTTGAGCATTACCTTACTGGCATGAGAAATAAGGGCCACTGTACGGAAGTTTGAGCAGTCTTTAGCATTTCCCTTTTTTGGTATGGGGATATAAGTTGATTTTTTCCAGTCTGATGGCCATTCTTGTGTTTTCCATATTTGCTGGCATGTGGCATGCATCACCTTGACAGCATCATCTTTTAAGATTTTAAACAGTTCAGCTGGGATCCCGTCATCTCCTGCTGCCTTGTTGTTAGCAATGCTTCTTAAGGCCCATTCAACCTCACTCCTCAGGATGTCTGGTTCTAATTCATTCACCACACCGTAAAAACTATCTTCAATATTATTATCCTTCCTATACAGATCTTCTGTATAGTCTCGCCACCTTCTCTTGATCTCTCCAGCTTCTGTTAGGTCCCTGCCATCTTTGTTTCTTATCATACCAATTTTTGCCTGAAATTTACCTCCAATGTTTCTAATTTTCTGGAAGAGGTCTCTTGTCCTTCCTATTCTGTTGTCTTCCTCCACTTCCATACATTGCTTATTTAAAAATAGTTCCTTATCTCTTCTGGCTAACCTCTATCGTTTGGTAACATTGCTATATTTCCCCATAGCATCTTCTCTCCTTTTCCATAGTGGAGAAAATCATTTAAGGAGAAGGTGAAATCGACGTGGAATATCTTTTAACTGGTAGTAGAGCCACCTAAGGGAAGATATGAGACTTTTCTGCTGTGCCTGGTGATAGCTTATACATTACATCAGGCATGGGCAAACGTTGGTTCTCCAGGTGTTTTGGACTTTAACTCCCACTGGCTGTTAGGAATTGTGGGAATTGAAGTCCAAAACACCTGGAGAACCAAAGTTTGCCCATGCCTGCTTTACATGGAGAACACTGTCATTTCACAATGAGAAGTCTGAACTAAATTCAACCATTTAAGTCTTATAACACCACTCCTTTAGGCTGCATTATTCTGTTTGAAATCAACTTCAGCTAGTCTATTGAAGGTAGCTGACTGTTGGTTCTCTCTATCACACCCTGTCCATATTTGCATATTTATTAATCTTTCTTATTGACATGAATATAAATTCCTATACCTCAATCCTTACTCTTAACCATCCTGTAGTCTGTATATTTTTCCATTTTTAATTAAACCTAGCTACCATTCCATAGTTGTGGGTTTGACTTTATTCATGGGTTTGATTAAAACATTATCTCTAGGAATCTCTAGGTATTCCAGTGAAATTATATGATCAGGTTCCAGTGGAAATTTATCATAGTGTCATGCTGGAGGACCTAGAAATTCCTAGGGTCACTTGGGCAACAGCATTTTTTTATTCATGATTTTCACTTTTGCGAGCTTCTTGTGCCCCTAACCCCAGCAAATGTGGAGGGTTGACTATGAGTACAACTGATACAGATATTGAAAATAATATATATATATTAGTGTCAGGAACGTCTTGAGAGACTGCAAGTTGCTTCTGGTGTGAGATAATTGGCTGTCTGCAAGGGCATTGGTCAGGGGAGGCCTGGATGTTTGATGTTTTACAATCCTTGTGGGAGGCTTCTCTCATGTCACCGTATGGAGCTGGAGCTGACATAGGGAGCTCAACCCGCTCTTCCTGGATTTGTAACACTGACCTGTTGGTCAGCAGTCCTGCTGGCACAAGAGTTTAACCCATTGCACCACTGTAGGTATCAGTCAAAACAATATGACTGATACCTACAGACTGATGTATGGTAAAGAACAATCCCTGTTGGTGCTAAGGCAATATCAATCAGCAATTAAAACATTGAAATACACAATTTAATTTTATTATGCTCCTTCCATAGAAATGTGCTCAGGATGGTTGTTGAAAGGTCTTAATATGACCAATGAACAGCTTTATCGTGCTGGTCAAGTACCGTTTTTCTTCAGTTCTAAGGCACACTTTTAATCTATATAAACATGGGGTGTGTCTTGGAATTGCGGGCACATCATATGTATTTTTGTTGGTGGTGTTACTGAAATTAGTGTGCATCTTATAATTGAAGAAATACAGTATATTTGGATAAACTTTAACCATAAGAACTTGTAGAAACTGAGCAATTTTAACACTGCCCTCAGATACGAACTGAAATCTTCCCATATCCAAGGATGTCTTAAAGCTTGCAGGTTTAAAACAACAATAACAACAACCCAACGGCCTTTCTTTGTACGGACAGGATGAGAAAGTGCAAGGCTTCCTGTTATGTGTGTGTGACAGCTGTAGATAAGTGGGGAGGCCCAAACAGGAAATCTGCCTTACTTCTGCAGCGTGACTTGTCTGAAGCTCAGGAACCATCTTAGATCGAAGCATCAATGGCGTGATGTGCTGTTGTTGCTGATCCAAACATGGGAGACATGGTAAAGGAGAACCTTGAGGAGGAACCTTCGTTGCCTTTGGAAAATGAGGGCCCCAAGACCAGGGGAGAGCTTGTGGAAGTCTCCATCAATGAAAGGGTTAAATTCGATGACACAGGCTTGTCCATGGTCCTGCAGAACGGCTTGGAGAACCTCCGACTAGAAAACTCTCTCACCGATGTCACCTTGTGTGTGGGCAGCATGAGCTTTTCATGTCACCGTGTGGTTCTTGCAGCAGCAAGCAATTACTTTAGGTAAGAGAGATGCTTAAAATTAACTATGTTTGTGCATTGGGATGTAAAAAAGCAAGTGATGAGACAGGTAAGCATTTTTTTCAACACTTGCTTATATCCTACCTGTACTCTATCCGTTTTCTGAAAAGGTATCCATGCTTTGGTAGTGTGTTAGAAGAAGATGGTAACCAAATGTTATGACTGTTTAAACTTCCGTTTTTAGGGATACAGGAAAACAAATAGTAAGAATACTAGGTTGTTTTTCTTTTTGTCAGTGGACGCTCATTGGTATTTCTTCTTTCTAACTGTGGAAGTCAGTCAAATAAGAAAGCAGTTGGAAAGTAAGGGAAAAAAGTGTTTAGTCTCCCATCTTGTGCGGATCCAAGGAGAAAAAGGATCAGATAATTAAAAAATAATAATCCCTTCTGATTATAGTAATAATTGGGCTAGTGCTGTAGGGTCTATGAAGTTGAAGAGGGAAACATTGTTTATATATTTGGATGTGAAAATGAAATATGCTAAACTGTTCTAGGTATCACTGTAAACTTTTATAGGTAAGTTGTTTCTATGCTCCGCAGCAAACACCTCTATGAACGTTTGTGCAGTTATATACCTGATTATGAAAATTAGCACTATTAAACAGACATGGATCTTTCCATACTATCATCTCTTCCTTTCTAGTTAAGTGCCTTATAACATCTTACATCCTCCCATTGTTGAGCAGCCAAGTGTTGCAAGAATCCTGCACTGAAGAACAGGTTAGATTAGATCATCTCCAAATTAGTTTCAGCAATAACCTATGATTTTAACCAGGGGTCCTCAAACTAAGGCCCGGGGGCCGGATGCGGCCCTCCAAGGTCTTTTACCCGGCCCTTGCTCAGGGTCAACTTAAGTCTGAAATGACTTGAAAGCACACAACAACAACAACGACAATCCTACTCATCAGCCAAAAGCAGGCCCACACTTCCTATTGAAGTACTAATAAGTTTATATTTGTTAAAATTGTTCTTCGTTTTAATTATTGTATTTTTAAGTGGTTTTGCACCACAAATAAGATATGCACAGTGTGCATAGGAATTAATTCTTTTTTTTAAAAAAAAATATAATCCGGCCCTCCAACAGTTTGAGGGACTGTGACCTGGCCCTCTGTGTAAAAAGTTTGAGGACCCCTAATTTTAACATATCAGAAGTCAGAGAGATAGCCTTTTGTATGGTATCTTAAACAGTCAATCTTCATCAGTATAGATGAGGATCAGCCATACAGTGGCCAAATGCTGGATGGGACTGGTTCATGGTAACATGGGGCAAAGCCATTTTAACACAGTCTTGTCCCATGCTACCCAAAATTATCCTCAATTTAGGATTTACGCAGCTTAGGGCTAGTGAGGACAGTTGGCCCGTTCTCAAACAGAACCAGCCAAAACTGCCCCCACTGCTATCCTGTGTTTTCAAAGCTCAGGCAGCTATGGGAATCCTTTGGGGACATTTATTGGAGCTGATACAGCATGCCAACCCCAGAATACATGTCAGTGTAGATGTGCTCCAAGTCTACCCAAGCAAGTCCAGAATCAATTAAGATTTTGACTGCTGCTAGCATATGATTTTGCTACTACACTGTAAAGGCAAAGGTAAAGGTTTCCCCTTCACATTAAGTCTAGTCGAGTCTGACACTGGGGGGTGAAGAGCCAGCATTGTCCTTAGACACCTCCAAGGTCATGTGGCTGGCATGACTGCATGGAGTGCCGTTATCTTCCTACCAGAACGATACCTATTGATCAACTCACATATGCATGTTTTTGAACTGCTAGTTTGACAGAAGCTGGGCTTAACAGCGGGAGTTCACTCTGCTCCCTGGATTCAAACTACCAACCTTTTGGTCAGCAAGTTCAGCAGCTCAGCAGTTTAGTCCACTGCTCCACCAGTATGCATATCTCTGTATTTTTTAATTTTAATGGTAATATCCCAATGCTTGTTTCTCATATATGACATTCAGATATTCATTTACTGAATGCTGATAGGTTTCATGACCTATTGGTCAAAGGATGACATCAATGACTGATAACACCATTCTAGCCGGGTAACTTCTAACTTGGTTTTATTATTCTTCCTATTTTCCTTTGAAGATAAGTTTTTAAAGAGGTATTTGTTAAGGGTAAACATTACTCTCTTTCCCTCCCCTGTAATTTTTCCTTTTCTTGTATCTTCCTGATATATCATTTACCCAAGGAAAGGAACAACATCATGCTTAGCTAAATTTCTTGGGCTAAATCCACTATTTATTATGTATTTATTGCAGTTATATACCACTTTTTTTTACCCCTGGGGGGACTCAAAGTGGTTCCCAATATAATCAATGGCAAAATTCAATACCTTACATGTATAAAATATCACGTATCAAATCAACAGCATATGATAATAGATTAAAACCATTGAAACCATAAAACTATAAACAACAATCACAGACACAATGTAAAACATCTGTTCCAATTAGGGTAGACCAGTTAAAACCTATTGGACTTGATGATCTGTGACATAAAATTTCCAGTCTTTCCAGTAAGTTTAGTCATATTTTTTAGTCCATTGCAGCTGTACTAGGTACAAAGGAGAAAAGTTTGAAAGTTGTTGCTGATTATTTATTTTCATGAGTGCACATATGGGTTTATGTGAACAGGTGCTATTTAATATTACTCTCGTTGTAAATATATTAACTGATCACTTTTCGTATTTAGTCCAACAGGAAGGAGTATTGTTTACCAATTGAATTTTCACAATGCTCCCCTTGAATCAGTGCCATGTAAGGATCTTGTCTTCACTTAACCTTAAATAACTTCTACCACTTGATGAATGAGTGTGCCCTTATGATGTGCTCATAAGGGGGCTTCTTGCATTCTGGTTCTAATTTTGTTCCTATCAATTCATAATTTTAGGACTCTGCAGGTCTCTTACATACATCATGAGTACAAAATCACATACAGTTACTCTGGCAAAATGATAGTCTTAATATCCAATTAACCGCTTCTACAATAATGTCCTCTTACCTCTTTGATTTTCTTTAACATGCTAATTTAACATGAAATGTATTTAGGGGAGAACAACCAAGATGCTAAAGGTCTGTAAACCAAGCTGTATAAGGAATGGCTTAGGATAAATGGTGTCCCTTTGTGGTTGGGGAAGGTTCTTCTTGAATTAACCTTTGCAATTCAGTTCTACCACTGATGGGCTTCATCTCATCTTTTCTTTCAATTCCCACTTATTCCTGGCAACTTGTATATTATTCATTCATCCTTCAAAGAAAACAGTTTTTTTTTTTAGTAAATGGCATAAAGCACACTTCAAAGGACTTTGAAAATGTCTTTTAAAAGACTTTTAAAATGTCTTTTAAAAGAACTGGAATGTGTTATTTAATCTTACACCAATACACCAAATACTCTAAGGGCCCTTCCACACAGCCATATAACCCAGAATATCAATGCAGAAAATCCCACAATATCTGCTTTGAACTGGGTTATCTGGGTCTACACTGCCATATATTCAAATTCAAAGCAGAAAATGTGGGATTTTATATGGCTGTGTGGAAGGGCCCAAAGCTTACTTGTGAAATCTAGCTGCAGTATACTTTTGAGAGCCGGAGTGGTCTGAGTATTGGGCTACAACTCTGGAGACCAGGGTTCAACTCATCTCTCAGCCCTAGAGAAACCCATGAGAGGGTCACCTTAGGGCAGTGGATCTTAACATGTGGGCCACGAACCACCAGTGGGCTGCAAGGACGAAAATCTGGTTTGCGAGCCTCCCTCCTCTTTATTCATTTATTGTATTTTATTTATTTTATTTCACTCCTTTCGCGCAGCCTGCCACTCCTTCCTTGTTAGTGACCATGGCATGTGTTCTGTATCAGAAACTAGAGCTGATTTGGTCTATCCAATGCAGTTTTCTGAATCAGCACCCCAAACCAAAGGTAAAGTTGACCAAAAACTGATTTGTAACCCTTTTGGTACTAATTTTGGAGAGTGGTCCCTGGTCAAAGTGGTCACTGGTCAGGAAGTCCCTGGTCAAAAAACGGTTGGGAACCACTGTCTTAGTGTCACCAACAACTCTTTGGATATATTTCCACCTGAGGAACATGTTTGACATACAGTAATATTAATTTAATTGATTTTCTTTCTTGTACTTTTGCTAGAAATCACATTCCTTTGTAATGCATTACCATATTTACTCTAGTCTAATGTTCTCATTTTTTGGTGAAATTACACCTCTAGAATTGAGGTGCGCATTAGATTTAATGGCACGTTATAATAATGCGCCCAAAACCATCTGTGCTCTTGAGCATTTTACTTTAAAATGGAAAATCAAGATGAAAGTTCTTTAAGATAAACAAAGAGTATACAGGGCAAAGTTAGTTGACTAATATGGGTATTTTTGTTTCCAGAGCCTATTTCAGGTTGACTCGTCTCTCTAGATTTACCATAATAATAAATCATCTCTCTTTTTACCTTCAGGGCAATGTTTTGCAATGATTTAAAAGAAAAGTATGAAGAAAAGATAGTAATTAAAGGAGTTGATGCAGAGACAATGCAAATTCTGCTGGATTACACATATACAAGCAAAGTGCTGATCACTAAGGAAAATGTACAGAAAATCCTGGAAGCTGCCAGCCTTTTTCAGGTTAGTGAATGCTTCTGACACATGGAAAAACACACAGACTTGGTTAACATGTAACATTAAGCCATTGACCAGCTTGGAAAATTACTTTAGAAACACATCTAGTTACTATTATAGTTCCAAGTTCCTCCTCTGCTTAGTAAACTAACGTTGCTGTGGAAACATTTAATAAGTAATGGTTTACTTTCCTGCTTCTTAAAGGTAAATAATGTAAATATGTCCAGTTGTTTTAAAATATCTGAATGCCACACACAGTCTGCTTGATTGTGTTTCAATACAGAGTCTCCTCATTTCCATTTTTGTTTTTGTTGTCTTTTGACACTTAAATCAGAGCTAATTGATATTCCTTCTCACCATTATTGAAGCCATGGCTTCATAAATACAGGTGTAACTTTACAAAAGACAGAACAGTTAAAAATGACAGCACAAAGGGAGATATAATGATAATGTGATATAGTCATATTTTGTTAAGGGACATTTGTTAATATATTAGGGGTCAATACAATTCAAGGTTCATCAGACTGTATCTGTACAGACTGTAATAGATCAAAAAGATATATTCCCCATTCCTTTTTTTATAACCCCTTGAATTTCTGGGGCCAAGTTTTGAAACACATGGCAGGATTTTTTTTTAAAATCCCTGGAGATTCCAATATCAGTAAGGTAATTTCCCACTTCAGGGTGCATTTTCCTAATTCCTCAATGTATCATGGTAGGAAATGCATTGGCTCAATAGGTTTAACCCTTGTGCTGGCTAATCTGCTAACCTGAAGGTCAGCGGTTCAAATCTGCAAGACGGGGTGAGCTCCATCTGTCAGCTCCAGCTTCCCATGCGGGGACATGAGAGAAGCCTCACACAGACGTCCCCTGGGCAACATCTCTCCAGACGGCCAATTCTCTCACACCAAAAACCACTTGCAGTTTCTCAAGTCATTTCTGACATTAGATAGATAGATAGATAGATAGATAGATAGATAGATAGATAGATATAGTCTACATTTATATCCTGCCCTTCTCACTCCGAAGGGGACTCAGGGCAGCTCACAAAAGAGGCACAATTTGATGCCTTGATACATATAAAAATAAAACAACACAAACTTTAAGATCACATAATTAAAACATTTTACTTAAAATAATTACTTAAAATCACACAGTCCTAAAGCATATTACAGGAGCCATTCCAATTGTCATTGTTCATTATTGCACCGAGAAATTGTTGTTGCACTGGGAATCATCTATCTGTCTTTCTGTCTATAATAGTTGATATACTGAATGGGGAATGATGGCTAGACAAGGAAACTCAATTCACACTGCCATTCACCACACTTTTTGCCGGACAAAGAACCTCACCATTACATTTATGGCATGCGGGGGCAGAAACAACTGCTAAGAGTGTGCGACCCAGGAACATAATAGCCCCATATTTACTGAGATTATTGGCCATCTGGAAGTGTGACCCAGGAGCATAATAGCCTGATATTTTGCTGGGATTATTAGCCATCTGGAGTAGTTTTTAGAGGCCAAACCAAAGTTTCTTAAATGGAGCTTTAATTTATTGTGCAGGCTGGGATAATCCACATTTGTAGGTGGAAGATATTTCAATTTAAAAAGACGCTTCCCTAAAAATGATATTTTAAAAGGCTCTTCCTGGGCCTAAAACTTAAGGGGACTTCAACTTGTCTCCAGATTTACAAATGTGCCTTCTGGAATCCTTGGTAGGAGAGAAACTGGTCAATTTCGGCAAGACATTTTTAAAGATCTAACCCTCTTTTTGGTCCCTTCTCCCAAAACTATTTACAAATTTGTGTGCTCCCGATGGGGTGTGGGTTGAATTGATATCGAGCTCTTTTGGGGGGTCTCTCCAGGGGGGGAGAGCCCTAGGACTACACCAAAGAGAGTCCTGGATACCTTGGTGAGATTTTCCGGAAGCCAATCCAAGAGCGCAGGAATATTTTAAAAATATAATCAGCTCACCAGAGGCGGAAGAAGTCCAGCGATCGAGGTTTATTTGCGAGTCAGCTGAGTCAGATGCAATAGTAGGGATAGTTCCTCTACAAGCATACAGATACAAAGTTTTCAGGCATTTTTATACAGTACAGGACAAAAGAAAGCAGTTTGAAACTCCTGCCGCCCCTTGCCGGCCGGCTTGACGCTGATTGGCTGGGGCTGGAACAGCTGGGAGGAGGCTTGGCGGCCCGCCTCTGCTTCCAGCCAATCAGAGTGTTCCTGAGCCTCGGGAGGGCCAATGGGCACCCTCTGCTCGCTTCTGAGTTTGGACCAATCAGGAGCGAGGAGGCGGGACGGCCGCAGACAAAGGGGAAAGATGATGGGATTTGGATTTCCTGCCCGCTGGAATGCGGGCTTTTTCTTGGGCGGGAAAAGGGTGATAATTGGCAAACAAAGAGCTTTCCTGCCCTTGATGGGTCTGGCGAGTGATTTGAATGGGCTGGTTCGAAATCGGGCCTCCCGGGGGGTCAACGACATCTGGGTGAATTAATCAGTCTCTTTTTCCGAGGCTCTGCTGACCCCCTTCCCTCGCTGGCCTTGCTCCGATGGCTAGGGTTGGGGATCAGCAGCATTGTCCATGCTGATGAGTCAATCAATGGGTGATTGAGGAAGAGGCTGGGGCTCTTTCCTCAGGCAGTTCCTGGTCACGCCGGTTTTGTGGGGCGAAGGTCAAGGGGGGTGAGGATACAGAGGAATTCATAAGGGTTACATATATCATAATCATAAGGCATAGGCATCACTAATTTACAGGCATTTCATATTTTTACAACCCATCCCAACCCCAGTTCATTACAGTAGGAAAATATTTTATTTATTTCATAAAAAAGAAAAGGAAAACTGGAAATCCCAAAGTCCGGGCGAAGGGGCTTGGAGGTGGAGGTCAGCCCATGGCCCGGGCTGGCCAACAGAAGATCGGTTCTTCCTTGAAGCAGGAGCTGGAGCTGAAGGGGGAGCTGGGTTCCACTGCTCTGTCCTTGGTAAAACTAGCGCTCCCAACCGAGGATCGGGCCTCCCTGCCCGACCCTCCTCTCCCAAGGCTCCCCCTTGGGCAATGGCGGTGGGTCCCCGGCGGCGGGGGCCATGCAGGAGCAAGCGGCAGCGAGCGGGATGAAGCAGTCCGGAAAAGCCGGCGAAAATTTGACAATCAGCTGTTGACTCGGCCAGATTTAATATTTAAACAAAAACAATTATTTCCCGGGTGCAGGAGTCCAAAATGAAAAAAACCAAGATGGCAGTTAGTCTTAGAATTTAATGTAGAAAAATATGAAATTTGAACGGGGCCGATCCGCCATGTTGTTGTTTTGGCGGATAAGGGGGCCCATTAGGAAAACCTCCGTATCCGCGGTTTTAACTAACGCAGATTTGGGGGCCCGGGGAGGCCGGGAAGGCATCCCCGGTGAGCTCACGGTTCCCCGGAGCTCAGAAAAAGGTTTATTTTATGTTAGAAAAGTTTCAGTCAGTAAAGGACACAAAGTATCAAGCGGAAAGGATTTAAAGTTTCAAATCTTAAGTGTTTTATTAGGGGCTTTGTTACAAAGAGAGGGAGAGGGGAAAGTGAAAGAAAGGCTTCTTGCAGCCTTGAGTTTAGCTTGAGCTGCTCGCTGGGGCACATTCCATCAGTCAGACCCAACTTGGCTCTCCGGAACTGCGGAACTCCCTGCTGCGGTTCAGACCAGCTTGAAGGCGGGAGATTCTGCCGCCTGGGGGGACATCAGAATCACTTTTTTTCCCAGCCCACGGGCCCCATTTTCTCTAGCTTTGGCATAGCATATTTTAAACCTTTATTCTGGTTTACGTTTTAGTCTAGTAACGTAAAAGAAATGTAAACACCAATTTAAAATTCACTGAAGTGTTAAGGAAGTCTGTCTCTCTATGCAAATGCAGTTGAATCAGAATCGTTAACCTATTTGCAATTGTTATTGATCTCTTCAACCTTTCCTACCAATTTCCCCAGTTCTTTTCATAGTATATGCTTCTAAAAAGGAAGTAGTCTACACAATGTAGCCTCCACAGTAATGTCACAGCTATGCATGGGTTCTTGATTTGTGAGTGTCATTCCTGTAAAGATTGGCCATGGTACTTTAAGAAACAGGAACTGAGTGGCTTAAAGGCATAGTCTGTTATCTTTCAGTTTTCGTAAGTAGTCGAAATGTGTCAACAGGACATGGCTCAGAGCACAAGACTTCTCTGTAAATACTTTAGGAATCTACATACCCCCTTAAAAATGTGTTTCTGCTTTTTCACTTCTCTCTTTTTTCTTTTATTTATTTTTAAAACCATGCTCCTAAATATATTTGGCCCACTTTGAGAGCAGGTGTAGTGAAATGAAACAGCTTCAGAACTGCCATGGGGTTTTCTTTACAGAAATTCACAGATCCGTAACCTTTGCGTCAACATTTAAAAAGGAACCTTTCCAACTAGTGCTATTTCCCATCTCCCTTGCTATATGAGTTCCCCCCAGTGTGTTGGGTCATTGGGCATGTGGAATATGATGGGAGTTATAGTCCAATATTGCTTGTAAAAAGATGTCTTATGTTATTGTAGATGTCTTAGCGCAATGTTTCTCAACCTGGAGGTTGGGACCCCTAGGAGGTTGCGAGGGGGGTGTCAGAGGCGTCGCCAAAGACCATCAGAAAACACAGTATTTTCTGTTGGTCATGGGGGTTCTGTGTGGGAAGTTTGGCCCAATTCTATCATTGGTGGGGTTCAGAATGCCCTTTGATTATAGGTGAACTATAAATCCCAGCAACTACAAACTCCCAAATGACAAAATCAATCCCCTCAACCCCACCAGTATTCAGATTTGGGTGTATGGGGTAATTGTGCCAAATTTGGTCTAGTGAATGAAAATACATCCTGCATATCATGTATTTACATTATGGTTCATAACAGTAGCAAAATTACAGTAATGAATTAGCAACTAAAATAATTTTATGGTTGGGGGTCACCACAACATGAGGAACTGTATTAAGGGGTTGCAGCATTAGGAAGGTTGAGAACCACTGCCTTAGCAGGATATAAATAAAGATCATTATCATCATAATCAGTTCTATGGTCAACCTCTGGTAGAACCTCACAATAAGAGTTGCACTGGAGGGCTTCAGAGATTCCTACTAGAGACAATATTTATCAAATCCACAAATAATTAAATCTGCAAAAATTAAACCCACTAATCTGGAGGGTCAAGGGAACCCAATTATTTTCCATTGTAACTGCAGTTTTTTTTTAAAAAAAAAACTTCCAAAATTGTGAAAATTGTTATCTTAAGATTCACAAGAGAGCAGCAAAATAAGGTACAGAATGAACTACTATTTAAAGTGTGTTATATTCCTGTCTATCCTATAACATCCTATGTTGCCACCTTTATTTATATTCTACTTTCTTTTCTCAAGCTAAATGTCTTTAAGGGTTGCCATTAAAAGGACTGGTGTTAACTCTTGCCAAATGTTATCACTATGTATTTAATTATTTTTAGTAAATGGGAAAGCAAGATTAGTTATAATCACATGGCTTCAGGACTAGTTGCTTCTAAGCTCTGGCTCAGCATGGCCACTCATTTCCCCATGCCCGAGATCTTGTTTGTACGGGGATCCTTATCATCTTGCATGATGGTGAGGATTTTTTTCCTTTTTGCCTGGTACTTCCTTTTCTCCTGTCACCATTGGCCTTTTCACTTGCCTTTGCCCCTATTTTCCCCCCTTGAGTAACAGGAACTTGTTAATCATGAGCAGTTCTGAAAAAAAGAAAATGTTGATGACCATGTATTGCTTCCACATAAGCCGTAATTGTTGTTGGGTGTCTTGAAGTTGTTTCTGACTTGAAGTTGACCTATTGCAAGGTTTTTTGTTTTTTGTTTGCAATACTTGTTCAAATTAGATTCAGGCCTTCCAGGTGAGTCTAAAAACGTGGCTCTACAGACAGGGCTTTGATCCGGAGTAATCCATGGCCAATGTGATGAATCTTTGATAGTACTGGCTCACATGTTGATTGATTGTTATGACAGATAGATGGCAGGGACAAGAGACATAGTATGGCTGGCGGGGACAAGAGACAGGGTCTTCTCAGTGGTGGCCCCTCGGTTGTGGAACTCCCTACCTAGCAACATCAGATCAGCTCCCTCTCTACTAGCCTTCAGGAAGAGAGTAAAAACCTGGCTCTGGGAGCAGGCTTTTAAAAATTAGGGCAATGCAGTATGCTGAATATGGAATTACTGTATGTGCAATTTGACCTTGGAATGGCCTTAGACCTTGGATGGTGTGTTTTTAACTTTGAATGTATTTTAACTATTTTAAATATGTTGTAATTTTAAACTATTTTAAGGTGAATTTGTTGTTTTGAGGCACTGTGGTTGTGCCATTGTAAGCCGGCTTGAATCCCTCTGCTCGGGTAGAGAAAGGCAGGGTATAAATATGGCAAATAAATAAATATGGCAAATAAATAGATGGCCGGTAAGTACTATTGCATTTTGGGAATTTTATAATTTTCATTTTTTTATAATTTTATTAATGAGATTTTTATGCACTGTTGATTATACTTATGTCATTGTATTTATACTTATGTATTGTTGTCCGTGTGTGGAACTTGGAGTGCTGCTGTGAGCCGCCCCGAGTCCCTTTGGGGAGATGGTGGTGGGGTACAAATAAAGATTACTATTATTATTATTATTATTATTCAGAGGAAGTTTGTCATTGTCTTCCTCTGAGGTTGAGAGATTGCAGCTTGCCCAAGGCCAACCAGTGAGTTTAATGGCTGAGAGAAGATTTAAACAGTGGTCTCCCTAGCCTAGGCATGGGAAAACTTTGGTCGGCTGTTAGGAATTCTGGGAGCTGAAGTTCAAAACACCTGCAGGGCCAAAGATTGCCCATACCTGCCCTAGCCTGTCACATAAACCCCTATGCCATCAAACACTGCAGTATCACAAAATCTGACACCATGTTTGCTTTGCAGATCGGTTATGCTAGTGGAAATGTTTAGGTTGATTTTGCAATGCTGGATTTAAGCATAGCAAAGAACAAGCTCTTTTTCGTGTGCAAGCAGACAGCAGTAAGCCTACTCAGATAAAATGATGCCTGCATATTTTGCACCAGCCAGCACCATTGTTCCTTTTACTTCCTTAAGGGTTTTTAAAAGCAGCAGATTCAACAAGACAAACCCAGAGCTTATGTGCACAGTAACTTGATGTGCTTTCTCTTATGTCTGTAGTTTTTGCGGATGGTAGAAGCTTGTTCCAATTTCCTCAATGAAGCGCTTCACCCAGAAAACTGTGTTGGGATTCTGAGATTGGCTGACACTCATTCTCTTGAGACATTGAAGCAGCATGTCAAAAACTACATTATCCAGAATTTTACTCAAGTACTGAATTATGACGAATTCTTGGAGTTGCCGTTGGATGTCCTGTATTGCATGCTAAAGAGTGATGACCTCTGTGTCACTGAAGAAGCACAAGTGTTTGAGATGGTTATCAGCTGGGTGCGTTACAAGTTGGCGGAGCGGCTCCCCCTCTTGCCTCACCTTCTTGAGAGTGTCCGGCTGCCCCTTCTGGACCCCTGGTATTTTGTAGAGACTGTGGAAGCTGACCCACTCATCAGGCAGTGCCCTGATGTCTTTCCTTTGCTTCAGGAAGCTAGAATGTACCATTTGTCAGGGAATGAGGTGAGTAAAAGCAAAGCAAAGCAAAAGAAAACAAACATTACCCCAACTCCATAAAATTGTAAAAGAGAAGGATTCTATGAGATGCATGAGTTATCCAGAGCTTTCTGTTCTGCAGTCAAATCTCTGAAACCTTCCTATTTTCCTATATATATAGTCCAGATGCAAGATGCTGGTTGCATCTACTACTGTGGTAATAACATTGGGAGAGAAAATTATATTAGTCTACTGCAGCAAAACCAAGAGAGAAACTATAAATTTGTCTTTCCTTTCCCAATAACTATCACATCCCTATATGAATGCATATTAAATAAATAAAGGATGGGTGATATCTGACTTGACAACTACCTGTGAAAAGGCTCTAGGAGTATTAGGAGATATGAGCCAACAGTGTGATGTAGCAGTTGAAAAAGCCAATGCAATTCTAGGCTGCACCAACAGGAATATAGTGTCTAGATTGAGGGAATTAATAGTAAAACTCTATTCTAGCCAGGCCTTACCTGGAATTATGTCTCCTGTTCTGGGCCTTGCAATTCAAGAAGAATATTGAGAAGCTGGATGGTGTCCAGTGAAGAGTGACCAGAATGGTAAAATGTCTGGAAGCCAAGCCCTATGAGGAGCAGCTTAGGAAGCTATGTTCAGCTTGGAGAAGAGAAGGTTCAGTGGGGACGTGATAGCCATGGTTAAATATTTGAAAGGATGTCACAGTGAGGAGGGAGCAAGTTGTTTCTGTCTGTTTCTGTCTCCTCTTCCATCCTTCCCCCTTTGTTGTCAGCTTAATACAATTGCTGCAAACTGAGGTCAAAGGTAGGACAGCTTAACTCAGCAAGGAAGAGAAGAAGACAGAATCTTGACGCTTCCTAAATTCAATACATTAATTCCACTGTTCCTCTGCTTAAAATGTGTGTGTTCTCACTCATTAGAATATTAGAATATTTACTTTCTCCTGCATTAGCTGGCCACAAGTATCCCAGTTTCCATCTGTGAAATTTTGGAGAGTATGCTATCTGAGAATTGATAATTAGCATGATTTATAGGATTGAAGATGAGTGACTATGTTACCATATACTACAACCATATGAAATAAGCCATTCCGACTACCTTCGGGGAAAGGGAGTGGGATATAAATAAATAAATAAAAATAATTATTATTATTATTAGAAACACAACAAGATGAGTCCACATCAGACTAATCTGTTGTAGTGGATCACACGTCAGACACTTCCCAAGTGTCTAGGACTGTGTGATGTATCGGCGAATAAAGCATGCAGATCCCAGTAAGGTGGCCTTCTGCAGCTGGCAGATGGTAATTTTATCAGTTCCGATTGTGTTTAAGTGCAGGCCAAGGTCTTTAGGTACTGTACCCAGTGTGTCGATCACCACTGGGACCACCTTTACTGGCTTGTGTCAGAGACTTTGCTATTATTATTATTATTATTATTATTATTATTATTATTATTATTATTATTATTATTTAGCTATATTATCCTTCCTGGATACTAGGCTGTTTTTTCTTTCTTGAGGTTTTACAAAGTTAGATGTGATAGTTTTATGGAGCATCCACATTTTTATATAAGTACATATTCTGACATCCATGCATTCAATTGAAAAATTTGGGATAATCCCTTACAGGGAGGGTGATGGACTTCTAAAATAATGTCAGAAGTTACAGTTCTGTTTAACTCTTGTTTTCATCCAGATAATTTCTGAAAGAACAAAACCCAGGATGCATGAATTCCAGTCAGAGGTCTTTATGATCATTGGGGGATGCACAAAAGATGAAAGATTTGTATCAGAAGTAACTTGCCTTGATCCTCTGCGACGCAGTCGTTTGGAAGTAGCAAAACTGCCCAATACTGAACAAGAAATAGAGAGTGAAAATAAGAAATGGGTGGAGTTTGCATGTGTTACATTAAAAAATGAAGTCTACATATCTGGTAAGAAACACAACAGTGTTCATGGGAATGAATTAAGATGGAATTGCAGCATATTGTAAGGCAGGGGTGGGAAAGTTTCCAGGAATCAGGTGGCTGCAATGGTCCCTCATCAGAGGAAGGATCACTTTTGGTTTTGGGAAAAAAGGCTCTTGATGCCTATAAAAAACACAGGGCTACCTGAAGATGGTCACAAATAACTGTTGATCAGGGAGGGAGAGAAGGATGGAAGGAAGGAAGGAAGGAAAGGGCTCCAAGGGACTTAATTTCCTTCCCCCTTTATTTTCCTCCTTCTTTGCCCTTTTCCTTCCTTCCTTCCTTCCTTCCTTCCTTCCTTCCTTCCTTCCTTCCTTCCTTCCTTTCTTCCTCACCCGAAGCCCTCACATTCTCCCTAACAGTAAATCACCCCAATAAGTAAATTTCCACTCACTTCTGTAGTCCCTCTTCTCAAAATGGGACAGCAGCATGGAAATGAAAAGTAAAATTTGGATAATTTTCAGGCAGTGCTGCCCTATGTCGGAATTTCTAATTACTTTACAGTTGGCAGCTTCTGTCATAGAGATTATTCAATATCTTAGCACTTTTGGGGGCAAAGGAACTTTTTAGCATCTTTTGTGTCTGTGCCACAGGTATAGCTATGAGGGCTTGGGATGGAAAGGATAAAATGAGTATGTTTACTTCCCAAATAAGAATTCTGCCTCTGTTGAAATTTTCTGTCAGTCTGCAGTAACTTAATACCTCAGATGGACATTTCAGTTTGCAACCTAAGTATTCAAAGAAAAGGTGCAATTCAAAAGAGAATGTGAGCACTTTCAATATAAGAGTTTTGGATAGCAACTGTTCTCCATGACTCATTTTCTGTATTGCTAGAAATGTGAGGAAGAAAGGCAAATTTCATTTGGTGGGACTGAATTGCTTTTGAGGGGACGATGTTGTCATTTTGACCCCTTCCCTCATAGCTACAGCCCTGAGTGCTTTTTTAGGGTAACATTTTTTCCTGTGTAGCCCTAAGGATGAAAGATGTTTGTAAAGAGCAACAATTAAGCGAATTCTTAGCATTGTGGTGAGGGTTCATCGTAGTGAGGGTTCATAAGCCAAACATAATTGCCGTAGGGGGATGTAAACTTGGTAATGTTTTTTGGCCTGAGAATGTAAAACCCTAGGAAACATTCTGGAAGTTGGTTGTATTCCATTTATTGCAGGAGGAAAAGAGACACAGCATGAAGTCTGGAAATACAATTCATCCATCAACAAATGGATCCAAATTGAATATTTGAATGTTGGGCGATGGAGACACAAAATGGCTGTGTTGGGTGGCAAAGTCTATGTGCTTGGCGGTTTTGATGGTATACAGAGAATCAGCAGTGTGGAGACTTATGACTCTTTTCACAATTGTTGGTCAGAGGTAAAGTTCATATGTGCTTTGAGTTGTAGTGAAACTGGAAACAAGCCTCAAATAAAGATGCTATACTAACAGGTGTCAGCTAATAGGCAAATGCTGTTTTGAAATAACACCAGAATTCATACCCTCCAGATGGCCGGATTTGGCAAGAAGAGTCCCAATTAATCTTCTCTCCTTTTTTCAGCTGCCTTTAAAATGGCTCAGTTTCTCTCTTCTTCTTCCACTTTCGCTCCTGGTCATTGACTTACTTTAGTTTGCACACAGTTAACTTAGCAAAGGATGAGAGGACAAACTGGGACAGAATTGTGACCTTTCCTATAGGTTCAGGCAAAAGCAACTTGCTGTAGCCTCTATTAGCATGTATACTTTTCCTCATTCATAACTTTTGCCAGCTTACCAAACTCTGATTTTGCTTGGCCACATGTATCCTGGTTTTTATATGTGAAATGTTAGAGGTTATGAGAATTTTTAAAATAACACATTTAACCAAAATATCTGCATCTGAAGGCACATTAAGAGCCCTTCTACACAGGCCCAAAACCTGCGACACATCACGGATTAACATGAGATGCCCAGACAATGCCTCAGGTTAACCCGGATGAATCAAGAGTGAACTGGGATTTCCCAGTTTTCCTTGTTTACTCCAGATTAATTTGACACCTGCAAAGTTCTGGACTTTAAGGTAAGGTCTGGATCTTTGCAGGTGCTTAGGCCTGTAGGGATTGATTCTAGGGGCTGCTTCTGCAATCCTGGGTATCAATCCCCACAGCTATCCCAATTCTTCAGCCTCCTGGAGCCCAAAGGAGTGGGATGGTGCCCCCTCACCCTGGCCCCCCATTTCCCCCCAAAATTACTGAAGGGGCCTGCACTGCTGACAGGCTCCTCAGGTAAGTTTCCAAGTCGAAAATGTGGGGCTGGAGGTGATCTGGATGCCATCACCCAAGGAAAAGCCTGGGGTTTGGTTGGGGCTGGGGACAGAAACCTGGGAAGAACTGGATTAAAATAACCCAGCTCATCTCAAGTTATTGGGCACTGTAGAAGGGCCCTCAGTTAGTCTCTGAGGTGCTGCTTGATTCCCTGCAATATATATTTTCATCAAAATAGGCAAAAAATAATATATAGTTTCTCAAAGTAAAGTTATACAATTCTGTATGTGTGTGTGTGTACTCAAAGGTGCTTTCACCTCTGAAGGCTAATAGCCAGTGGTGCAAATTCGGAGGGTGGTTTTGAATCAAAACTGAATGAAATGTATATTATATTCAAGAAGATACTCATCTTTCATTTAAACAATCTTCTTTTCTCCTCACAGAAAAGGTTACCCCCTCCCCCTTAAGAAATCTTCTCTCGGATTCTATTTTAGGTCTTTTCCTCTTCGCTTGTTTACATTCCCCTTTACTTTTTGTGTTGTGCAGAGTAACTTATTCCCATGGCCTCAATCACCATTTGTATGCTGACAAAATTCAGTTCCATGTTTCTTTAACAGTTCCTTTTGTTTTTGTCTATGCACTCTTCATATTATGTTTGTCTGCTAAATTGTGTGCAAAATCTATTCAGGATTAACTATGTTGGTCGTGTAACAAAATACAAGAAACTACAGAATCAGCAAGCATTCTATGGGCAAACTCCACAGCATAAAATAAGTACATTGTGAAATCTTCGCTGGTTTCTTCATCAAGCAAATATGTTAAATATAATAAAGGAGAAAAGGAATTATGATTGTCATTTAAGATAGTACTGAGAGAGTCCAATGTAGGTAGAGGCCCATCTCTTTATATTAAGATGGGAGGAGAGGTGACGTTTAAAAAGAGATACTATACTGCATATGATGTATTAACGTTTCAGAAAAACATCTATTTCTGTTTTATTGACTATTCTAAAGCCTTTGACTGTGTGGCTCATAATAAATTGTGGCAAGTTCTTGGTGGTATGGGTATACCAAGCCACCTTGTCTGTCTCCTGAGGAATCTGTATAAGGACCAAGTAGCAACAGTAAGAACTGACCGTGGAACAACAGACTGGTTCAAGATTGGGAAAGGCATGCGGCAGGGTTGTATCCTCTCAACCAACGTATTCAACTTGTATGCAGAAGACATCATGTTATGTGCAGGGCTTGATGAATGCAAGGCTGGGGTTAAAGTTGCTGGAAGAAACATTAACAACCTTAGATATGCAGATGATACCACTTTGATGACCGAAAGCAAGGAGGAGCTAAGAAGCCTTCTAATCAAGGTGAAAGAAGAAAGTGCAAAAGTTGGGTTGCAGCTAAACATAAAAAAACACACAAGATTATGGCAACAAGAATGATTGATAACTGGGAAATAGAGGGAGAAAACATGGAGGCAGTGACAGACTTTGTATTTTTAGGTGCAAAGATTACTGCAGATGCAGACTGCAGCCAGGAAATCAGAAGATGCTTACTTCTTGGGAGGAGAGCAACGAACAATCGCAATAAAATATTGAAGAGTAGAGACATTACTAGAGCAACAAAGATCTGCATAGTTAAAGCAATGGTATTCTCCATAGTCACATACGGATGTGAGAGCTGGACCTTAGGGAAAGCTGAGCAGTAAGGAAGATAGATGTTTTTGAACTGTGGTGTTGGAGGGAAGTTCTGAGAGTGCCTTGGACCGTGAGAAGATCCAATCAGTCTATACTTCAGGAAATAAAGCCCGACTGCTCATTGGAGGGAAAGATATTAGAGGCTAAGATGAAGTACTTTGGCCACATCATGAGAAGAAAGGAAAGCTTAGAGAAGACAATTATGCTGGGGAAAATGGAAGGAAAAAGGAAGAGTGGCCGACCAAGGGCAAGATGGATGGATGTCCTTGAAGTGACTGGATTGACCTTGAAGGAGCTGGGGGTGGTGTTGGCGAACAGGGAGCTCTGCGTGGACTGGTCCATGAAGTGATTAAGAGTCGGAAATGGCTGAACGAATGAACAACAAACACAGTAAGAATCTGGTCTGACTTCTCATCATTTCTATCTTAAACATCAGCTATTATAATCTTGCTAGTCAACCATTTCTCTATCTTACCTCAGTCATAAACTTAGTTGGCATCTCGTTGTCTTCACTTCTCCCTTGATTATTTCTTTCCAATAACTCTTTGTGTGTGTTCATTCAGAGTGAGATACATAAGGCTGGTGCACAGACATTCATGCATACAGAGTGTAGGAAATCAAGATTAATCCTGAGCCATGTTCCATGATTGTGTTTTCCTTGAACTTAATATAGGTGGCTCCTCTCATGATCAATGTGAGCTCCTTTGGAGCAGCCAGTTATAAGAGGAAACTCTATGTGATTGGAGGAGGACCCAATGGGAAGCTGGCCACGAACAAAACACAGTGTTATGACCCAACAACGAACAAATGGAGCCTAAAAGCACCCATGCCCGTTGAAGCAAAATGTGTCAATGCTACGAGTTTCCATGACCATATCTATGTTGTTGGTAAGTATATCATTCATTCCTGTGTACAAAATAGATTTTCTCTGCCTTAAATTGGAACACTCCAGAATTCTCCTTGGAGGACTAGGAAGTGATTTACTAAAGTGATACTTCCTGTACAATATGGCTGGAGAATCTGTTCTCCCTCAGTGTTGATACTCTACTGCTCTTCTCACTACTAATAGGCAGGCTGATGGAAGCTGATGGGAACTGAAGTATGGCAACATCTGGAGAGCCCCGGTTCCTCACGTCTGCTGTATACAATTATACTAAATGCTGTGGCAAGGGAAGAACACTGGGGATACTATTTCAAAATGGCTCATGAACACATTCCTAGTGTGTGTCCATGAAAGCAATTATAACAGCATCTTGCTGGCAAAATGCCACTGCCTATCATTATGGGTACTAGTTGTACATGGGTTTGCTTACAAAAGTGTGAATATGATGTTACTGTATAATAACAATTATTACAGTGTTTGACTGGTTTGTCCTACTACAAAATGTACTGAATCCTTTTAAAAGGGACCGATTACATTTTAGGAGGGTGGTAGATTGGCAGGGCCAAGTAAAAAGAGTGACTTAGAAATGTCCGCAGTTTTAGTTTAAATGTCTCATTATCATTAATATTGCCAAGGAGAGAATTACAACCTTTTAGCTTAGGTAAAAATTTGTACAAAAATGGAAAGAGCAGGAAGTGGTGGTGTAGTAGAAAGATATTATGGCCATTTGGAGAAGCCTACAGTTCTGACGTGGGATCCTCATAGGGCCAGATTGGAAGGGAGTTAGATGGTCTTCCCTGTATTCAGACAGTCTTCCTGTTGGTCTCTGGATAAAGACACCATATTTGCATGTCATCCTTGTGCAGAGGCCATTCTAATCTTCTCTGCATCATTCCAACTTTAGTATATGTGCTGCCGAAGTGAGCACAAGGCACCATATTTATACTAGGAATTGCAACTTGAACTTCTTGTCTCAGGGATCCTTGCTGGAATCCATATAGGAATCACTAAGATATAAAAGGATGAGAGCAAAATGATGAAATTATAAGGGACAGAGACAAGGAAAGCAAGAAAAGAGGCAATGGTGGGATGGATGGTAAATGAGGTTGTCAAAAATTCATGTAGCTGCACCTTCTTTCTCAAACTCTAGACATAGATGGGAATGAAGAAAGAGAGAATAAACTTGTTTTCCAGGTTTATTTTGCAGTGATTTTAGTGACAATTTAACAGAAATTTAGTAGTTAAAATTTCTCTTTCAGTCCAATTAGAATTGGATTTTAAACCGTTAACGATTAAACAGAATTACTGTTTTCTACTAACTTTCCTATCTCTGCACATTATCCTTTGGCTGTCTACTGTTTCAGAATAATGGCCTCACCTTTCTTTGCAATGTGGGTAAAGGAAATCCAGTACTAACCTATGGGGCGAATACCTAATTTGTTTGATTGAGAGACACCATATTAATGAGAAGAGTCATTTGCTTTTCCTTCCCATTCCAGGTGGGGCGATGAGGGCAGTCTACTCTTACAGCCCACTCACAGACACATGGTGCCTGATAACCCAGTTAAGTAATGAAAGAGCAAGTTGTGGAATTGCCCCTTGCAACAACAAACTGTTCATCACTGGAGGCCGGGATGAGAAAAATGAAGTCATTGCCACAGTGCTGTGTTGGGATGCAGAGACCCAGAAACTGACTGAGGAATGTGTCCTTCCTCGTGGAGTCTCCCATCATGGAAGTGTTACTCTCAGGAAATCCTATACATACATTCGCAAAATAGTGCCTGGGGCAGTCTCTGTCTAACTTTGGAGGAAATTCGGGAGATTGGAAGAAGAGGAAGTAGAAGTGATCACACAATACCTCATTTTCTTCAAGGATTTATATAAGCTAAACTGGGATGACACCACAAAGCTGTCATAGTCCTTGTGTGAAAAGTTTCATATATTTGTTCAGTTTCCTATGGAATGGCATATGCCTTAAATTATGTTCGTATTTGAACTGTGCTATTTATTGACCAGAAGTATCAACCAGTGAGAAATTTACCCAGTAGTTAGTTGTGAGTTGCAGTGTGTGTGTGTGAGTGAGTGTGTGTGCCTATGCACACACACCACGTTGGATTTTTTTAAAAAATATTGTTTTAGAAGTTTTTTTAAATCAAAAATTTGGATAGACACATTTTAATTAATAAAGTTAATATTTGTCATTTTGAAAGTGTTCTTTTCATTTTTTTAATCCACCTAAAAATGCAATAGCCTTTTGATCTCAATAGCAAATGATACCAAATTTTAAATATATATGTTTTCTTTTTCAGAAAAAAATATTAAACGTTGAGAGGTCAAGGAAATAGAAAATAGCAACTGTGCTGTTGCACCCAAGATGCTTTAAATGTCTTTAATGCTAACATGTCTTACCTTTCTATCAGCTTGGGGGATGCTGGTCTGCCAAGAGTTGGGCACGTGCCTTCTTTGGAGGTGGTGAATCATGATATTTCCATTGCATCGACTGGACTTTAGACTCAGGATCATAGTGATGGACCCAGCTTTCATGCTGTATGATCAGTCTGTGGAAAAAGTCCTCCTGGTTTCCAGGGCACATCGTCAATAGAACCTGAGAGCATTCAACTTGTTCCTGCTTTTGGAATGTAGTCAAGAACTGGCCTCGTCCATTCAAATGTGGTTGGATTTCGGAGAAAACAGCTCCAATTCCATGGTGACCCCACTCTGATAATGATGAACACAGCAAGTGGAGTTTTTGCTGATGGGGAATCAGCACCGTAAACCTCTTTTATTTTAGTGTGCAGCCTTTTAAGTAAAGGAACTTGATGACTGCTCTGTATTCCATTGGGTTCATTATCAAACCTGACACCACTTCAGCACCTGTAAAATCAAGACCGTTATAAGTTTTGAATTCTAAATTGGCACATAATCTATAGAGTTATGTCATTACACATGTGCAGTTTCAGCATCCTGTGGTATCTAGAAGTGGGTTAGAGGAAATATTTAATGAACACACCTCGTATTAATTGCTTTTGGGCCTATCTCCTCCCAGGAACTATATTGATTTCCCCACAACAAAGTTAATACTTAAAGTTTGAAGGTAACCGATTGTTCTTGAAGTCACTCCTAGTGGATGAATCTGTAGACAAAGGACAGATGAAAGTTTCCCTTGTTCACTTTCTTTGGTAAAGAGGCCTCTGGGGCACCAATGCCCAAGCTGATCAGGCCTGAGGCTAAGAGAGCACGTCTCTCCTATTGAGGTCTGACACCTTACTCAAGGCATGGAAAACTCCACAGGCTGCCACTGACCAATGGTAGATCAGTATAGTCAAATGAGTTCCCAGAATAGTAGTGGTCATTGGCTTGAATGGGCCTGTCCAAGCCATGATCTTGGCCAACTATAGACATGCTTTGCTTCCAAGATTCCCTGGCGGTAACAACTCTAATCTAAAATGGTTCCCTTTCCTCAGGTCAAGGGGCAGGCAAACTCAGGAAGAGTTTTCTTAAGCTCCACTCTCATAAAGCTAACAGGAAAATGGCTACTCTCAAGCTGGGATCTATACAGTTCAAATCACAGCAACCTTGGGGGGCAACGCCAGTGGTCAAGAGAAGAAGGGCAGTACATTTTCTCTGGGTTTCACTCTAAACCAGGGTTTATCAACTAGAGTAACCTGGATTCCTAGGATTTTGCAAAAGGTTGGTAGGGGTTCCATAAAACATTGATTTTTAACACAAATGTCTTTGATCTGTAGATATAATATTTTATACAGGAATTCCTGGAGTCCTGAAAATTATTTCCAGGGCTCCTCCTGAATAAAAAGGTTGGGACAGCTTGCTCTGAACTTGAGATACTAAGTATGCTGGACCTAATCCTCAAAATATGTTCAGTACATTGGATAGCTGCTTTAAAACTTATACTAAAAACTGGATTAATTGTCCCTGAGTCACCGGCTGCCATTGTTGAGCAGCAGGATATATATTTTGCATGCAGAAGTTCCTAACTTCAGGCTTTGGCATGTTTGATGATGATGATGATGATGATGATGATGATGATGATGATGATGATGATTTGAGAGATCCGGGAAAGAGACTTGTCTGGAATTCTAGAGATCAGTGAAGTTGACAGCAGTGTACCAGATGAACCAATAGCTTGAATTGGTCTAAGTGGATTTTCAAAGCAACAATTAAGCCGAGGAATCAAGAGCTGAAGGGGACAGGATGATGGAAGGTAAAAAGGATAAGGATGAAAAGCAGGTGAAGATATTAAGGGGAGGGGGAATTGGAGTTATGTTTGGTCATTAACCCGATCAAAACTTATTTATTATTTATTTCAGACATGTATATCCCAGGACTCAGGGTCGCTCACAACCAGCAACCATTAGATACCAAACAAACAGTAGTAATAAAATCACAATTAAAACATTAGTTAAAAACAACAAATTATACAATCCATTTAAAAGTTAAACAAATTCAAGTCCAAATTCAAATCCAGAGTCATAATCCGAGGTCTGTCCATTGTCAGTCACATAAATCATTTGCATTATTATTGCTGTGTCTGCTGTTCGAATGCTTGGTCCCACAACCATGATTTAAGCTTTTTCCTAAAGGATAGGAGAGAGGGGGTTGACCTGATTTCATTAGAGAGTGTGTTCCACAGATGGCGGGGGTCACCACTCAGAAGGCCCTGTCTTTCATCTCCACCAGTCACGCTTGCAAGGGTGGCAGGATTGAGAGCAGGGCCTCCCCTGAAGATCTTAACCTCTGAGGTGGATCATAGAGGGAGATATGTTCAGACAAGTAAGCTGGGCCAGAACCATATAGGGCTTTATAGGCCAAAGCCAGCACTTTGAATTGTGCTTGGTAGCAGACTGGCAGCCAATAGAGCTGACATAACGGGGGTGGTATGCTCCCTGTACCCTGCTCTGGTGAGCAACCTGGTTGCCGCCAGATTCGTTATATGAACTGCCATAATATCACAAGATGTTCCTGGGAAATACTTTGCAAGGATCTAGTAATAATCCACTTTTCTGCCTCCATTGCTAGGCAAGCCTTTATGAAGGATTCAGCACATTATAAAATAGTCTGCACTGAGAAGGATCATAATGCAACTACTTGCTAATGTTCAGTAGATATTGATCTGATAACTGCCTGGATGGCAGATGTCCTGGAAGTCCCCAGTTTACTACTTGGAGATCTATGATGGAAGACTGAGCTAATACAAGTTGTACTTATTTTCTGGCTATTATCTGGTTCTTTGCAAGCTTTGTTGCTGTCAGTAGTAACTGGAACTAGGAAATTGGCTCATCCATCCAGCACACTGTTGTTGCCTTTTGAATCATCTGTCCATTTTATTTAATGGCTCTTTTTTCATGCCAGTGCTTTTTCTGTGAAGGAGATAAGATACGCAGATGTATACTGCTGCATGGTGCTTGTCACTTCCTTTTGTGAAATATCATAGGTGCATAACCTGTCTGTTCTTTGCACAAGAAAGCAAACCACGGGGAAAGAAAACAAGTGTGGTTAATAAAGCCTTATGGTTCCAGTCCACTGAATTTATTTGCTTCTGCTTTACTTTTGCATTCACTCTCTATTATAAAGTGATCACGAAGTTCATTTTGTTATGTTGCTGAAGCCTGTCTATTTTTATTCATTTTTGGCATAGCATAAGCAATATAAACAATATCAAACAAAGCAAAATAAACATAATGAATTAATGGCTTTTGGCTACCCCTTCCTTTGTTTTTATGCACAATCACAAGACCGTTTTCTTGCTATTTTCTACAACTCTTCAGCCCAGCAGACGGCACTGTTCTACTGTTTTTGAACAGGTCTACAATTTCCTGGAACAGAGGTACAAAATAATCCTTCGAATGAGGGGAAAAATACTTGATGTTGCAATAGTGTTTCTAGGAAAGGCTGAATTGATATATAACGTTTTAAAAAAAAGCAAAACAAAATTGAACAGGGATCTTAGTATCTTATAATCAAATAAAATATCCTAAACAGTCATTTAAAAGCTGTGCCCCAAAACAGGCCATTCAGTCCAGAATCAGCAGAGATTTATGTAAAACCCACTGATTATGAAAGTTTTCAGTTCTGAAAGGAAGCCACATCAAGCAAAGCAGCACCATAGTCTGAAAACACTACATTGTGCTTGAATATCTCTGTTAGAGAGAAGCATGTGTAGTAGTTACTGAAAGATCACAATTATTCATAGTGCTTCTACTCTTGTTTACGATGGCATTGTGTGAATGGCTGATATATTTTTGTTATGTTAAGCTACCTATCCGAACGTATCTCTGCCTATGAACCCACCAGGACTCTAAGATCTTCTGGGGAGGCCCTGCTCTCGATCCCGCCTGCATCACAGGCATGGCTGGCGGGGACGAGGGACAGGGCCTTCTCTGTGGTGGCCCCTCGGCTGTGGAGCGCCCTTCCCATGGACATTAGATCAGCCCCTTCGCTAATGGTGTTTCGAAGAAAACTAAAAATCTGGCTGTTTGAACAGGCGTTTGGATAAATAGTGCAATGAACACGATGAATATAGGAAACAGAATTATGGATGACGAATTGGATCACGATTTTAGTTACGAGACGTTAATGTGTTATTATTGAGATGTCATTAGTTTGTATTTTATACTGTTAATGGTTTTAATATTGCACGTTGTTGGACTGACTTTTGCTCTTGTTGTGAACCGCGTTGAGTCGCCTATGGGCTGAGAAACTGCAGTATACAAGCAAGGTAAATAAATAAATAAATAAATATTTTTTTATATTTCTGTGCCAAGTCTTGAGGAGAACATTATACAAATCCACATTAGATAGAGGCAAAACAGACATAGAGTCAGAGTAAATGAACTGATTTTATGGAATTGGGTAGAGACAGTACATCATAGATGATGATTATTTTCTTGTGGAGTGCATGTTAGTTATTCTTTTCTTTTTGACATCAACTCATTTCCCCAATAATTGTTCCTTTCTTATTTCAGCTTTTTTATTCTCCCTCAATGTTTTTGCTATTTTTACATCCCTGTTTTTTGTTTAATGTTCCTCTCATTCCTCAGGCTGGCCCATTGCCCATGTTAGG